ACACACACACACACACACACACACACACACACACACACACACACACACACACACACACACACACACACACACGCCCGCGCGCCAGGCGGCCCAACCTGGTGGGCTCCCTGGCCAGCGCCGGCATCCTGCTGTTCTCGGGCTCCTGCTACGCCTGCGCCCTCGCAGAGGACAGGGCCTACGGCAAGCTGGCGCCCTACGGCGGCTTTGCTTTCATGGCGGCATGGCTCGCCCTGGCGCTGTGAAACCGCGAGCAGAATGACCCGCGTGCGCGCGGGGTGACCGCTCGGCATGCGGCTCGCCTGCTGCTGCGGTGCTCCTGCCGCTGCGGGCTGGGACGCTGCTGGCTGGAATCGCCGGCGGGGCTGTGATTTGCTATGGGCTGGGAGTGTGCTTTGTAAGTGTTTGTTGTGGCGGCAAGGTGGCAAGGTCCTGTGCTTACTGTGCACTGCGTTTTTGTGGCTGGAAACTGTGGCCGCAGGCGCTGACCCCTGCCTGGCTTGTCTGCCGCGAGGGCGGTGGCGGGGTGCGCATGTGCGCGTGTGCGGGTCACTTTATCAGCGAGCCGTGGCCCAGCCCGCTGGCCGTGGCGCTGCGCCCACAGGCAGCCGCCTTCCGGGGAGCGACGGGGCTGCTCACTCTGCGCCTTGTGGCGATGGGCTGGAGTGGCCCTGGAAGTTGGCTTGGGCCCTTCAACCCTTGTGACCCCTGGTGGCGCCGCCACCGCGGCCGCCACAGCCGATGTGGTGTAACGCCATCCCTATCCTGCGCCTCGAACAAATCGCCTGGGCGTGGCACGACAGCATTACATGAGGGCCGGCGGGGTATGGAAATCCACTGCGCCGACAAAATCCAAATTAGTGTGTCATGACAGGCGCCCGCTCGGGCCGGCGCGCACGCGTGCTCCACACCCCGTCCATGCGCCCGGCGCGCCCGACACCAGCTGGCCTTCCAGCGCGGGGGCACAGCCGGGGCCCGCTCGTACGGGCGGGCGCAAGGCGGGGCAGGGCGGCGCGAGGGGCCCCTGCACAGGGGGTGGCGGGCGGGGCCTGCGCGTGCCAGAGCCCGCCGCGGACGAGGGCCCATGGCTGCCCATGGGGACATTGCACCGCCCGCCACGCAGCGCCTGCGCGGCAGCGGCCGCACTGGCAAAGCCCGCGCTCGCGTGTGAAAAGGAATGCCATACGGATGGGAGGTGTTGGTGTGTTGCTGCACTGCCATTGACGGGGCCGGGAGCACAAGGGCAGCTGCAGGCCGCGATGCATGCAAGCCCGCCTCAACAGACATCCCAGCCGCCGCCGCGCGTGCGCGGCGGCGGCCCCACAAGTGTCCGGAAAAGAAGGACGGGAGGAAAGAAGCCAGCTTGTGTAGCTCAAAGATGAGAACTTTAACCGCCCCGCCGGGCCTGCCACGTCGCGCATGGCACGCCGCCAGGCCAGGGAGCCGGCGCCGCCACGCGCGCAGCCTCGGCGGCAGGGCCGCCCGCCGCATGACGCACCCCGACGGGTCGCCAGCCGCGCCGCGCCGCGTCGCGCCGCGTCCGACCTCACGCCTTCGCGGTCGCGGGCGCCGGCGGCGGCGCCGCGGCCTTCTGCACGCCGAACATGCGGGCGATGATGACAAAGGTGACGCCGCCCACCACATTGTTGAGGGCGCGGACGAGGATGGAGTAGAGGCGGAACGCCGCCTGGGGCACGAGCTTCACCAAGACCTGGGTTTTGGGGGGGTGAAGGTTGGTGTGGGGCTTTGGGGGGACGCAAGGGGCCGCTAGGGGGACGCAGGGCGCCTGGGTATTG